GATCGATGAACCTGGTCTCATACTGGGTGACCATCATGGAACCCTGCTGGAGGCGCTCAAACTACCTCCGAAAGGCCTCTCTTTGAGTCACAGGGAGAAACTTCTCCAAAAACAACGTTGTGAACTGCTCCCAAGTCAAAGATGGAGAACCGGCTGGTCTAGCTAAGCAATAATCCCTCCACCAAGTCTTGGCGGATCTAGACAGACGAAAGGTAGCAAAATCAACTCTATTGGTCTCAACGATCCCCATGTTCCAAAGAACCTCGTGACAACTATCCAGATAATCCTGGGGATCCTCAGTAAATGCACCGCTAAATGTAGAACTGAAGAGCTTGGTGAACCTATCCAGCCTCCACAAAGCATCGACGGACATAACCGCTCCATCGCCAGTCTGAGCTACTATACCCAGCAGAACTTCCACAGTTGGTTGAACCGCTGGAACCTGAACTTGGGGAACTACTTGCTCTGGAGTGCGCGTAGCAGGAGTCCGAGCCCCTCCTCCAGCCTGAGAAGTGGCTGGTGCTACGGGAAGCAAACCCGCTCGGGTGACACTTTCCATGAGGCCCACCAATCGGACTAGCGCGTCCTGAATAACTGGGGTGGCAATGAACCCCTCTAGGACCTAAGCTGGGCCTACCAGAACTGCTAGGGCCGGAACCTCCTCCTCAAAATCAACCTGAGGCTCCGCCACTGGTGATGCTGCTCGGGGCTGAGCTCTGCCCCTACCTCGGCCTCTAGCACGACCTCGGGCTCGCCCTCTGCCCCTGATGGAAGCTGTTGCTGGGGGCTCGGGCTGCTGAGCGGTAGATGAGGAAGCGCGTGTTCTTACCATCTGCGAAAGAATAAAGTAGAAATTCAATCAGTATTTGAGAAACAAAACCGCACGACAGAAAAGAACAAATGTGAAGTTTTCCTAACTCCGTAGCCTCTGAGGGATAAATACAGACGTCTCCGTATAGATCCCTCAGACTCTACTAAGTTTGTCTATGAGTTGTGATACCTATGTAACCTAGAGCTCTAATACCAACTTGTCACGACCCGAGTTTTCCACCGTCGGGAGTCGTGATGGCGCCTACTAATGTGAGCTAGGCAAGCCAATTCTTAACTGCTACTTCATTAAAAAATTACTTCTTTTGACAATTATCAGTAATATCATGAAAACAACGGAATTAAATAAATATGCGGAAGACGTAAATTAAAGAAACTGAACAATAATGCGGAAATCAACATATGCCTCTACCCAAGAACTGGTGTCACATTACTCACGAACTTCTAAGAGTACTAAATACAACCGTTTGAAAGAAGAATATAAATTGTTTGTCTCAGAAACTTGAGATAACATACTGAAATAAAAGATAGAGGAGACGTCGGGCCTGCGGACACCTGCAAGGCTACCTCGGTGTCTCACTGGACTGAAGGCTGGCTCCAGCACTACTACTGCTATCCAAGACCCGGATTTGTGCAAAAGAGCACAGAGTGTAGTATCAGCACAACCGACCCCATGTACTGGTAAGTATCTAGCCTAATCTCGGCGAAGTAGTGACGGCTAGGACTAGAATCCAAATAAACCTGTGTAGTTCATATATATATATATATATATATGTATATATATATATATATATACAGCGGGAAAAAATACAGGAATAACCAGCCAATGCGAGTAGGGGAAACATGATGTGGGGGTGAATATAGTTCCGAATAGAAAGGCATCAAGTAAGGAAGGAAACAACATAACTAGAATATCAACAAGAAAGCAAAAAGCAACAATTTGCACGACGTCACCCTTCGTGCGTTTACTCTCGTTCCCACCAAAACAATACACGACATCACCATTTGTGCTTTACGCTCTTCCTCACCCAAACAACAATCACAAGGCAAACAGGGTAAGGAAATCTAATACCTCGAAATAATCAAATAACAGCAGGTAATGAAAGAAACAACAAAACTCGGATATCAACAAGGAAATCAGAAATCAACAAATGCACGACATCACCCTTCGTGCTTTTACTCTATTTTCTCACCATATAATCAATAAAATCGACACGGAATGGTATATCGTGCGACACGGCATCACACTTCGTGCTTTACACTCTTTCCTCACAATAGCAAACAATGCACGGTATCACCCTTCGTGCTTTATCGCTCTTCCTCACCCAAACAACAATCACAAACAAGGGGCAAGGGATTAAAAAAATAATAATAATAGAAATCCCGGCAAGGGAATACAATTAAACAGCTAAGTCCCGGCAAGGGAACAATATCAATAAATCTCAACACCCCGGCAAGGGAGATAATCAACAAAGCAACAAGCATCCCGGCAAGGGAACAATTCAATAACTCTTTATTTTTCTTTCACTTCTTACTTTATAACTCACTTTACACTTGAGCCAATGCTCCAAAGGGTTTCATTTTTCTCATATACTTTCACAATTCATATTACCACTTGAGCCAATGCTTCTCGAAGTTCAAAGATCACAATTTCTTTCACATGCTTTCTACAACATATAGAAATCATCATTTAGGCATGAAAGATACCACAAGATCAGAATATCCGCAATATAAAGACTAACGGTCATGCTAGACACCAACGTATAGATACTCATCACCATGACTATACGTCGTACTTGACAATTAGCACGTAGCAAATAAGACTTAACTCCTAATCCCTCAAGCTAAGGTTAGACCAAACACTTACCTCGAAGCTTTGAACACCACTCAAGCCTCAATTATAGCTTTACCCCCTTGATTCCACCACAAATCTGCTCGAATCTAATCACAAGTTACTTAATTACATCAATAAGTGCTAAATGAATCAACCCCAATGCATGCAAATGAGTTTTCCCAAAGTTTTACCCAAAAAGTAAAAAATCACCCCTGGACCCACGTGGTCGAAACCCGAGGTTCGAACCAAAACCCGATTACCCATTTCCCCACGAATCCAAATGTATAATTTGTTTTCAAATTCGACCCCAAAACGAGGTCTAAATCAAGAAAAAATCAAAAAGCCCTAACTCTACCCAAATCCCCAATTTTTTACCCTAAATTACATGTTTTAGGTTTAGGAATTCATGAGATGTTGAAGAAAATAGAAGGATACAAGCAAGGATTACTAACCCACGAAGTCTTTGGTGAAGGATAGCTTCAATGGATGCCTAAGGACCTTGGAGAAGAAGGAGTTCGTGAAAATTTAATGAAATCCCGTAGCTACTGTTTCTGAAAATTAAAAATATAACTAGGCGAAATTGTCCTTCGCGTTCGCGACAGGCTGGTCGCGTTCGCGAAGGGTAGGGCTTAACAGACTATCGCGTTCGCGGAAGGAGGCACACCAACGCAGAGAGTAAAATGGTGAGGCCCTGAAATTGGTCTATGCGAACGCGGAAAGAGGCACGCAAACACGAAGAGGAAATCCTGCAAAGCTACGCGAAAGCAAGTAGGCTTACGCGAACGCGATGAAGAAAAGGAGACTCAGCCCCCAGAGTCAAATAACACTACATGAACGCGAGGGTAGGGACGCGAACGCGAAGGAGGAAAAATTAAAGCATCGCGAACGCAAGAGGAACAATGCGAACGCGTAGAAGAAACTGGGTCTGCAACAGCTGAAGCAAATCTGCATTTTTTCTAAGTTTAAAACCACTCCGAAGCACTCCCGAGCCCTCGGGGCTCCTAGCCAAACACATGCACTAACTCAACAACATTCTACGAACTTAACCGTGCGATCAAATCGCCAAAATAATATCAAAATAACGAATCAAACCTCAAAATCACTAATTTTTCTTCAAACTTCTTAAACTTTCAAATTTAGAGTTTTAAGTCCGAAACACGTCAAACGACGTCCAATTTCAACCAAACTTCACAGAAATATCTTAAACCACATATAAGACCTGTACCGGGTGCCGCAACCAAAATAAAGGCCCGATACCAACACGTTCTAACCAATTTTCATTTCAATTTTTTTTATAAATTTCAGAAAAATAATTTTACTCAAAAATTCATATCTCGGGCTTGGGACCTCGGAATTCGATTTCGGGCATACGCCCAAGTCCCATATTTTCCTACGGACCCTCCGAGACCGTCAAATCAAGGATCCGAGTCCGTTTACTCAAAATATTGACCGGAGTCAAATTTACTCGTTTTAATATCAAATTTTAGCATTTTTCATAGAATTTCATATTTAAGCTTTCTGGCTACACGCCTGGACTATACACGCAAATCGAGGCAACTAAAAATGAGATTTTTAAGGCCTCGGAAGCACGAAATGGGTAAGAAAACAGGTAATGACCCCTTTGGGTCGTCATAAGAATATTTACAACATATACAAAAATGTCATTTCCACTTTATGTGAATGTCTTTAAAAAAGTTTAGTGACATATCTTTTACAACATAGCAAAATGTCGCATTAAATGTTTGACACTTAAATTAATATCGGTATCCTATTTTTTAGAATGTAAATAATAATGCTTTGTTTAGTTTCATCATGAACACATTTACATTTACAAATATCAACTTATATAACAAATATGAAATAAATTTAAAACAAATATCTTTTAGCACAATAACCAAAGAACAAAGTAGCAATATAAAACGTACTTAGTACAAGATAAATAATGTCAAATCAAATGATTTGTTCTCATGTAAAACTTAAATCTAACTAAATAATAAAAGATAGTAATTTCAATGTGTAAGTACTTTAAGATCACTCCTAATTCGAATTAATTTTCCTCAACTTCTAGACTAAATCTTATAAAACCAACTCTCCACCGACAAGCTTTTCACTTCCAGTAATTGATATCACTTCCTTCAAGAATGTTGCAGAAGAGGTCACAAGAAAAAAAAAAAGAATTATCCCTTTATAATAAAGTGAATTCTTTCCTTCTCTAAAACAATTGGAATACAAAAAATAATAACATATTCAAGTTCTAAAAGAGAAACAAATTGATGATGAATGTAATACTAGCAACTGAAGAGAAAAAGAAACATACAACATAAATCAAAAAATCCAAGAAAGTAAAAAAAACCGCCCAAACCGAACAATTGAAATGTTGTAGTAATATCATAATGCAGTTGATGATATTTTCTTGGTTGTGGGGGGATGTGAGAGGAAGGGAGAAAATATAACTCCACCCGATGGAGGTTCTGCAAAATTTAAATAAATATAAACATGATCAGGCCTAAAAAGCTAAATACAAGTAAGCACACATAAAGCTACTTGCCCAAGAAAGGTTGAAACAAAATCTAAATGAGATAGCTCACTTAGGAGAATCTATTTACCTCTACGATAATAATGAATTTTCTGTAACAAATGCTATATTAATAGTCAATAATGCACATTCATATCAGAGTTCAACATCAATTTTGTACTAGAAAAATGGTGTTCAATAAAAACCACAATTTCACCCTTTACCAAGGAAAAGAAAATGCTCAGCTATTCTCCATTCATCTTGCACTTAAGAAAATCATTCCTTACTCTTTTAGTTTTAAATTTTCTTTGAAACTGAGGCAAAAACAGGGTGGGAGAGGGGAGGGTTAAATTCTGAAATATTAGTTTCCGTAAATGGTATATTGAGATGAAAACTAATGAATGTTATATAAGTTTTGCAAAGTATAATATGAAGGGTTTCTCCCTTTGAAAAGGAGGAACAAGAACCTTGTAATTTTTTTAAACTTACCCGCTTCTTTTTCTTTGTGCCAACTTCACTAACTCCAGTCTTCTTGATTATGTTAATCTGAGAAGAAATATTAGATTGGTTACTCTGTAGTTTACAAAATTTATAACTTAGAAAATTGTGAATACAAGATATATAAAAACAGGACAAAAGTCATATAATAATTTTTATTTCATAATATGCTGGCGTTTCAATCATAGATCTTTATTTCCCTCATCTAGGTAAGAGTTTTCAACTTACTCTTTCTTCCAGGTTCTACAAACGGCTAAATATCTTGTGTAGGAGGGTAAAATCATGCTTGATGGGAATCTTATTAATTAACAAAAAGAAAAAAAAGAAGCTAACTTCTTCACAGCTGCAACAAGAATGCCACCATCATTGTCAAACATTAGTTTAAAAATGGAACTCCATCCTTAAGTGTAAGCTAGAGAAGAGCCTCAAGAGTTGCGATGCTTTTTCATAAGAACATGCATCAAAGATGAGAAAGCTCTTCAACCTTTCCAAGGAAGATGATATCAGGAAGTATGTCAATACCTACCACCAAAATTTCACTACCAAAAATGGAAAAAAAGGCAAGGAAAGCTCATAAGATTTAGTTGCTTGTGACTAGGACAAAAACACAGATTATTTCTCAGCAACTCTCCACACAGACTCCTCAATTGTGATTCATCGGTTCGATATACTTCAATATTCAATCAACCCAACAATACTTATTGCTAAAATAATCATTCTAACTATTGTTTGCAAAGCACTAAAAACTAAATTTCAACCATTATTATTGCTCATTGGCTCAACTGCTGGTTCATTATTGTACACTTTGTGAATCTTGATCAACTCTTCATAAACAGCTTCACTTTCAATTAGAAATACTCATAATCATTTTTACTGGAAAATACTCATAATCGTTTTTGAGAGGACATAACAGCTTCACTCTCAATTAGAAATACTCATAATCGTTTTTACTGGAAAATACTCATAATCGTTTTTGAGAGGACATAACAGCTTCACTCTCAATTAGAAATACTCATAATCGTTTTTACTGGAAAATACTCATAATCGTTTTTGAGAGGACATACTCATAATCGTTTTTACTGGAAAATAGCCTCTATACTTTAAAGTGCTATTTTGAAGCTTTACGTAACTGAAGCGAAAATTGACATAGTTAAAACTATACTCTTCAAAAGTATGCAGAAAAATATATAGTTAAATGAGTTTACGAACTCACCATGTTTGTGTGAACAAGTGAAACAGGTGATAGTGATTGTTGGTGATCGTCCATTGAGTTATCAGAAACCTATCACAAAAGAGGAAAATTATTACAATTAAAAGAAAACTAAATTACAAGATTATCTTAAATACAATAAATTTTTGCTAAAGAGCATAATATTTTTTACCTGCTTATCACCACATAATTTCCTATTTGAGCCAATAATAATACCCAAAGATTCTAGATATGCCTTTATACCCAGCTTTACTTTATCATCTATTTTTGCATCCATATCCTTTGTTGCTTCTAACATTTTTGCCCCATCACTTTTATTTCTTCTTTTTCTTCAAATAACTTTTTCTCCCTCTTCTCTATTTCTTCTTTTGCTTCAGCCAATTTTTTTTCCATCACAATTCTCATAGCGGATGTAGCTTTTTCAACTTCTATCTCAACTCTTATATCAAAATCTCTTTGCTAAGCCTGAAATCGCTTATATGCAGGGCCATAAACAAAACTTGGAGCTGCTCCTTTTCCTAAAGTTTGAACATTTTCATGAGTGTTTGGTCCCATAACCTGTGCATACACATCATTGGGAGCACTTTCAGGGACATTTAACTCAAGATACACCTTACCAAGTTCATCCACTTCTTTCTTTTGGAAAGAAAAGGCAAACCAATGAAAAGTTAATAAAATTTTATATTGCCAAAAAAAGTAGTTTATATTCATAAAGAATGAGAATTTACCATAGTTTCATTAGCTATCTCATTTACTGGTTGTTTATTCTTTCTCATATGTATTTCTTTGAATACTTTGATACGACTTGGTTTTACACCATTCTTCTTTGTCATCTGTTTAAATAGTAAAAAATTTATGGCAAATATATTCAAGAAAATAAGTATTGATATATAAATTGCAGAAAGCTTATAGTAAATATGGCATACATCATCTATAATTTGAGAATGACTTATAGTAATATGGCATACTAGATCTTTTTGCTCCAAAAGAAATTTAGAAAAAGAACACAATTGGCTAATTGCATACTTAAGTACCAAAGTTAATTTCCAAAAACAATTAACAATTTGCTGTTGAAAAGTAGTCAAAACATTAAACAACAGTGAAACATTCAATTTCTTTTTCCTAGATAAGAAATGAACTACTGAAAAGTCTTTACAATTAGAATCTTCACCCAACTAACATCTCTTTCTTATTTCTTTTTTCCTTTTTTGGTCAAAAAAAGTAATTGTACATGACACTCTTAAATAGCATTTAAATAATCCTGGACAGATTACATTGTAGTATATCCATAGTGTAAAGTACAACACTTCAATTATTAACAACCAGAAATAGTGGAGCGCAACACACAGAATAAGCGTATTATACACTCAGTTATACAGAATAAGTACCTAGGAAGTTTTCTGTTTCATATGAATCATTTCTTGATTTACCAGATCGGATAGCTTGTCCTTCATTTTATGGCCAATTTTGAGGTGGTTGAGGCATCGCCGCACCGCCCATTTGTTCTTCTTGTTGCTCCGAAAAATCAGGCAAAAGCATTTCTTGACTGGAATTTCTCAGTTTTTTTCTTGCCATCACAACAAAGTTGCTCAAAAACTATAGTTCCTACAAAATTAAAAAATATTTTCTACTATCCAGACGTATAAAATAATATCAAACTAGCACGTCAAACAAAAAGACATATACGCATGTGAGATTTAAACAACTAAAAAGCATAATAAGAATTCTCGAACTCGATGATCTATGTTTAATAACAATCTTTACTAAAATAGTGACAAAAATAATAAAAGTAACTAAGATATGTCATCTTCTTCATCATATGTTTCAATACTTTCCAAAGTAAGTGGGTCAATTTCTATTCCCGGCAACCTTCTCTAACCCATTTAATATCCTCTTCATTTTCAAACCAATCTAACAATCGATATCTAAAAGATATTTTGTATAAAGTGACATAACTGTATAGACCGCAGAAACTTTTACTTGATAAATTAATATTAATATATTTATTAAAAACAGCAAAATGAGGTACTCCTCACAAGATTAACACCAAACTTTTTCTCTCTCTCTCACACACAAAAGAAAAATACAAGATCCAATTTTTTCAACCAAAGCAGACAACAAAATAAATAACCAATATGTTACTATACAATAATCAACCCTTTAATCACCAAGAAACCAATAATTTAATTAATCTAAGCATAATCTACCATTAAATAATGAAAATCTTATATCCAACTTTATAAATGTACTAAACAACAAACGTCCAAAAATACACTGTTTGACCACCAAAAAAATCAAAATCAATCTACCAATCAATACCTAAAAGAGAAAATTATTAACCCAAATTCGAACAAATAAGAAAAAGAAAGAAATCTGTTAACCCAAATCCGAACAACCAAGAAAAATAAAGATATTTGTTAACTAAATTGGGTACCTTGAATTTATAGAAAACAAGCTTTGTGGATCTCAGCAGCAAAAGCCTCAGCGATTTTCATCTCCAAGTATCTATTATAGTACAGTGAAATGCAAAAGATTAGGTTTTTCGTATAAGGAAAAGATTTGGCGATAAGAATTTTGCTTCCCTCCTCCCAATTCTTAAATTAGTTTTTTCGTAGAATTCTAACTAAGGAAGAAAAATTAAATTTAAGAATTGGGAGGAGGGAAGCAAAATTCTTATCGCCAAAATCTTTTCCTTCTAAATCTTCGATACTTTTCATACATAGCTCCTTTTGAGTCTTGGGGAAGAGGGAGCAGACTTGAGAAAATTTGGCAAACCCAATTCNTTATGCACTGATAATGTAATGAATCACTTACACTCTATCAGATTACGTAAGAAATAGTTCCAGGCAACTTCTTATGATTATATGTTACCTTAAAGATTAGGAAAATGACCTGCAGCAATAGTTGAACATGCACTGATAATGTAAGTTGACAGTGTGATAAAGTCCGTAGCTTAATTGGAAAAGGAGATAGCCTGTTTGGCCAAGCTTATTTTTGGCCAAAAGTGCTTTTTTTTTTGCTTTTGGCCAAAAATTGAGGTGTTTGGCCAAGCTTTTGGAAGGAAAAAAATGCTTTTGAGGAGAAGCAGAAGCAGTTTTGGAGAAGCAGAAAAAAATAGCTTCTCTCCAAAAGCACTTTTCTGAGAAACACTTTTGAGAAAAATACAATTAGAAGCAGTTTTCAAAAGCTTGGCCAAACACTAATTACTGCTCAAAAGTGTTTTTCAAATTAATTAGCCAAACACATACTCTTTCTCACCAAAAGCACTTTTTTAAAAAGTACTTTTGAGAAAAGAACTTCTCAAAATAAACTGCTTTTGGAAGCTTGGCCAAACGGGCTATTAATTAGCTTTCTCAATTGTGGTCAATAAATGTTTGGTTCCTTGGTTTCATATATATTTTTATTTTTTTTTAAATATTTCATCTTTAAATCCAACATCTAACAAGTAGTAGTAATATAATAATATATATTTTAACTAAACATTGATATTTTAATTAAAAATTTTNATATATATATATGAGCAGAGATTCCCTTGGTGCTTGTAACTTTTTCTTCTCACTCAAAAATTCAGCTTATCTTGTAGCACCACTAACACTATCTTTTGTCACATCTTCTTTTCTTCTTTATGTTACATCTTCTTTTCTTTATGTCACGTCTTCTTTTCTTTAATTGTCTTTCGCATTGGCACGCCTAGTGAGATACCATCATTATATATATATATATATATAGAAAGTACACTAAAAGTTTAAGAAAATCATAGGATTAAGGAAACTCATAAAAAAATAAAATATCTAACATATTTTACAAGTATAAACAATGCAATAGTGTTACAATTGTTATCAAACTACATATATTTGATTGCTTCCCTAAAAGGCTTGAAGTTATAAATTAAACTATTATCGAACTACACATTTAATTACCTTCCTAAAAGTAATAATCAATAAACTTTATCAATATTATAATTCAAAATATTACCCCTTCAGGAATAAATACAAAGTATTAAAGTATCTTTTGGTAGAAATAAATCTAAGAACTACAAATCAATAGCGAGTGAGGATATACAGTTCGACAATCTATATATTCAGAGAAAATGATCAAATAACATTAACCCTCACGATATTCTCACTTAGTAAATATACAATACTATGACTCATTATTTGAGTTAAGATCATTCATTTGTTAATGTATTTTGAGGGTCAACACTATTAATTAGAAAATTTAACAAATGATTTACCTAGTACTTATTGAGCGAGCCCGAGCGCCGAGCAATAGACGTGTAGGGTGCATAATTTTATGTTTGGGGTGCATATAAGCCTCACAAATTAAGCCCTACACTTGAGCCGCCTCAAGATATTGTGCAAATGACTCGCCCAGGAGCTAGTCTTGGACGGGCCTTTTAAATTATTATGCAACAAGAATCGAAATCGTCTATATTGTAGGTAATTATCATAATATTTGAACAAATTAAATATTAAATATAAAGGGCGTGATATTTTTTTAAGACAAAGAATGATTTAAAATTTAGAAACTATAGAGAAATTTTCAATCGTAGATGTTAATGTTTGTAATTACCGGCAAATAATATGACATTTAAAGTAAGGTCATATTTTTTTTGTCATTTGTATCAAAAGTTTTTACAACATTTGTTAAAGTGTCGTATTTTTACTACAGTTTGGACCAAATGTCATTGTTTTTATGATATTTTATACCAAATATCGTCCTTTTTATGCCATTTTGTATCAAATGTCTAATTTTTACGATATTTTGTAGAAGATGTTGCACTTTTTACGACATTTCTTAAAAAATGTCATTATGTTGACGACATTTTGTATCAAATATCGTTATTTTAATGATATTTCCTATCAAATGTCATTTTTACGATATTTAGTATCAAATGTCATTGTTTCTATGACAATTAATATTAAATGTCATAGTTTTTACGATATTTTGTCATAAATGTCAAAAAAGGAAATTTCCGACATTTATTTCAATAATCACTAAATAAATGTCGTTGCATCCTCAATTTCCTGTAGTTGAATGATAATTTTCTTTAGAATAAAAATAATTTAAAGCTGTCACGATCTCAAGTTCTCACCTTAGGATGTCGTGATGGCACCTAGTCCCTAAGACTAGGTAAGCCTAGCACATTCTGAGTTAATAACAGAATTGCACTATTTAATCATGTAATGACCCGATCGGTTATTTTGAGTGTTATAGCCCCGTTCTCTCATTTACTGCTTATTCAATGATCAATTGTTGATATGTAACTTACCTGGGTAGTTGATTTGGTTCTGAGGATGTTTCAGAGTAAATTGGGATACTTAGTCCCAAGGTTGGAAGCTTAACTTGAAAGAGTTAAGCGGATATTGACTTATGTGTAAACGACTCCGGAATGGAGTTTTGATGGTTCCGATAACTCTGTATGATAATTTTGGACTTAGGAATTTGTTCGGATAGTGATTTGGAGGTCCATAGGTATTTTGGCTTGAAATGGTGAAAGTTGGAAAAATAAAAGTTTGGAGAGTTGAGAGGTTTGAACAAGAGTTGACTTTGT